TTGCCTTTTTCATCTCTATTGACAAATCATTTCTCACAATTTACAATTCAAAAAATATCAAAATCTTTGCCATGCTTCAAAATTTCTTCAAGCTCATCACACTAATTCCTCAAACAATTATAATTTGCATACTGCAAATTTGTTGAACCAAACAAAAATTTGAAAGTATTTTCATATTTTTGATATTGTTCAAACCTTAACTTAAGTGAAAAGGGACTTGATCAACTCCAAAAGATTCTTCATCTAGATGTGTTATATTAATCGTTGACAATTTTATTAAAGTGCTTCTTTCTATTAATAATATGATTTTCATGAAATTTAGGTTCAACTTTTATTTGAGCAGTAATTTTTTAGCAATAATGTAGTAGGAATCAAATTCAATTTCTATATATGTTTTGAAAAATGAATAAGTGCTTTCAAGTTATTAATATAAATACTAATGCAGCCGTATTGTACCAAATAATTGTGCTAAACAAGAACTAAAAATGCATGTCAGAAAATAAACGTTTAACATCTTTAAATGTCTTAAAGTCATTATGTGTTGGTCAATTGACGGTTTCATGGACGGTTTTTGTTCAGATAGACTCCAGGTGCATATTTATGAAAGTTTAGAAATCTCTACAGGCACAATTGAAAGTTAGGATAACGTTTGTACAAATTGAAAAGGTTAGAGACCGTTGTTGCAATTTTTCCGTCCATGTTTTCACCTAGTTATTTTTTTTCCCTCTTTAAACTGGACTCTTCCAACATATTTGTGATAGCGACTTAAGTATTTGACCTTTTACATTAAATCGATTTGTAGAATATGAAAATAGTATTTATTTACATTGTCGAATTCCAAAAAAATATATATATATTTAACCTTCATATAAGAATTTGCCATATCACAAAGTGCAAAATTAAGTGCTTGTTTGGTACATATTTTAAACCAATTAGAATCAATATTTTAACCATTATTTCACTATTGCAACTGTCATTTTTGAATTCTTCTCTCGCGGATAGGACCCACTTTATTTTTAGCGGTCAAAAAATCAATTATCAAAATTTCTACCAAACAAGTACTAAGATTATGATAATCACATGGTGTGTAAAATTTCATCGGGTTTACTTTTCTAGTACTATTTTCTGTAAACCTTTATGCTTCCCTTTTATATTAGAACCATTATTATAATCCTAACCTCTTAAATCATCAATATCACGTTCAAATGTTTTCAAATAAAGAAAATATGAATAGCCTGAAAAACTTGCAAACAATATCCATGAATAATATATATATTTGAGGCCTCACCTTATCTAGTTCTTTTGTTATGTTCGAGAAGAAAGATTATATCTATGTCCAATCTCTAGTGATGGTGGGACCTTCCACCCTCCCCAATCCTTGAAAGCCCATTCGAGGGCTATCCTTCTATCTCAACTCGAGTCTTAAATTTAGCGCCTTACATAATGAGAATTGTCAAAGTATCATCATAGCCAAAAATGGAATATAAATGTAACAGTTGGAAAGCTAATCAATTCCATACTTCTGTATCAAAATTGAAAGAAGAAGAAGAAGAAGAAGAAGAAGAAATAAAAAAAATAATGCTTACAAACACACAATAGGGCAAAAAATTAAAGTAAAAAATTCATAAATCTTAGTATTAATGTCAAAGACCGTAAACTTAGGTTGGAGAATTTGCATAGTGTTGAAATTGGGGATGAACAAAGAAAATAAAATAAATTACAAAAAGTCAAGTAATAAACAAAGAAATGGGAAAGAAAAAACGAAAATTCAACTTGAAAACGAGTTAAATAAAATAAAATGAAATGTCACTAATATATTTAAAACTTTTTTTGTGAGACATTTCATGTTCTTATTATTTTTGGTGCATTTTTAAACAAAAATTTCCATCATTTTAGGCCCCCTTTTCCTCGTTTTTCATTGTTTTAGTCAGAGGTATGCGTGCAAGTTAAGGGAGATTTAGAGTATGAATTTAGATATAAACCACTCGATCCAACACACTTCAATTGAGGGTGGGACGGCCACTTAACAAGGACATATATAATCCAACATTAAGAAATCGTGAAACCAATAACAATAGAGATGGAAAGAAAGAATATTGAGTTCATTAGACACTCTCATTGCATTCCTATTGTTTTCATAATTATTCAAACCAAGCAAAGATGGAAAGTATGAGATAGAGTAATTCAACTATCTTATAAACTTATCCTAATTACTTGCACTTTCTCAATACAATATCTAAAAATGAGATACTTGAAATTAATCAATAAATCATTAATTATTTTGAATGAGGATTCACATCAAGATTGAAGTTCAAGACTCTCAATAGGACGATAACAAAAGATTAATAAAAATTGACATAAATTAAGAAAAATTATTCATATCTATCTTAATTATTATGTTTGCTCTAACACATGAATATCTTTTCGATTTTCATTTTTCCAGAACATTTAACTTAACAAAATGGAAGAGCGTTACTTTTTCTATTTTTTTTTGATCAATAAATCTCAATTATTTACTTGTGTTGTTTTTATACCTTTCCATGTGATAATGTGACTATATATGTAGAAGAGGATCTCTTTATCACCAGTGTATCCTCAATATATATCACAAGACAATTAAAGACTCCTTTACACAAGTTTTGTTAATATACGTACGTTACAAATTACAATAAAATATTGGAATGGATAGATGATAAGAATGGTATAAAGGTAACCACTATGTACACTTACGGAAAAATAACTTAGCAATTTACCGTGCACTATATACCTTCTCTATGTAATACAAGGTTTATGGAACATTTGCGAGAATGTGTGTAGTTCCATTTTATCGGAAAATTTTAAAGTTTGCATTTTTTATTCGTAATTAGAATTACTTAGAATTTTATGTAATATTTAGAAAACTTGAACATTATATTTTTGTTCTTTTTCTCTTATAGAATTTGAATATTATAGTGAAAACTATAGAATCTTACCAACTTTTAATGAAGAAAATCCTTTTTGTTTTTTATTAATTAAGAATGATTGACAGTGAGTCGTAGCTTTAACTCTGTCTTTTATTTTTTCCTTCTTGATTTTGCAAAGTTGACACATTTACTAACTAAAATAAGTTTAGTACGAGTATCTTCAAAGAATTCTTTAAACATGAGACATTCTCTATTTTAAAGAGTCAATTTTTAAAATCATATTTCAAGAGACTCTTTAAATTAACATTTTATTTTAGAAAGTGGGTTTGGCTCTCCAAATTTGGATATGCAAATTCACTTTCTATAAATAAATGCATTTAAAGTGTTTCAATTTTCAATGTAGGAAAATAATAAAATAATCTAGAAAAAAGTTAGTTAAAATAAAAGATAGAGAAAAATAATAAATATTTTTTTGGAATAGTAAAATTAAGTTTTAAATATAAGAGTTTATTGAAGTACTTTAAAATTCTAATTCTCTAAATTTATAGATACCCTTTAAAAAATAAAAAGTCTCTTGAAGATACTCTAATATAATATGTCGTCATTACTATATTAACTTCTAATGACCAACCAACAATGTTACTTTTGCACATAACTGGATAGAAAACACATCAATGGCTACAGGCCTCATTGAGTTGATTCACACCTAGAGTTTTCAATTAGTAGATTGGATTAAACCACAGTGTTCCTGAAATGATAAGTGAGTTAAGCTACTCAAACAGGGAGTTTTGATAGATAACGTTGACAGAGCTGAGGCGACGAACTGTGATTAGCATATATATATATATATATTCCAATGAATGTAACTCAGTATTGTCTATCAACATTCCTCGTCAAAATTTCCTGTTTGAATAGCAAGATTAATGATAAATATTTAAGTGATCAATATTTTGGAATAAAATGATATCCAGCCGAATACAAATTTGGCATAAAATTAAGTGTCGATCAACAGTGTTTTTAAGATCACGTGTAATCAAGATATGGTGGAATTTATACGTATTTGAAGTCTGTGTATTTATTGCTACAACTAAAAGCTGTACCTACTCAACTCTATCAATGGACTCAACATCTTGCTAGATTTGTCTATAAATAGTGATGAAACACTCTAAACATACTCATCAAAAACATAAATCAAGTTTCTTCTTTCTTTACAATCAGTTATAGCAAATGGGTTCCAAGACAATTCTTCTACTTGGCCTTCTGGCTATGATTCTTCTGATTGCATCAGAAGTGTCAGCCCGGGAATTGTCTCAAACATCCACAGTTCCACCGGTAAGTTTCTTCTTACACAAAAGTTTTCGTCGTTGAAAGTAAAATTTCTTCTACATATATAAGATTATTGCTTCCAGGACAATGTGTACTTCAGTACTTGTATCGTAGAGTTTAAGAATTTCATTTTTCTCCCATCGAACTTTATAGACTGTCTGCCTATCTGGTAAACATATTAAGTATTAATATTCTATTACCTAACAATGTGTACTTCAGTACTTGTATCGTAGAGTTCAAGAATTTCATTTTTTTCCTATCGAACTTTATAGACTGTCTGCCTGTCTGGTAAACATATTAAGTATTAATATTCTATTACTTGTTCAGATAAGGAGGCTGAGAAGACAAATGGGGTTGAAGAATCCAAGTATCAAGGAGGCCGATATGGAGGATACCCTGGTGGCGGTTACCCCGGTGGTGGATATGGAGGAAACCGAGGAGGATACCCTGGTGGCGGTTCCCCTGGTGGTGGATATGGAGGAAACCGTGGAGGTCGTGGTGGCGGAGGAGGCTACTGCCGCTATGGCTGCTGTGGCCAGAGCTATTACCGAGGGGGTTGCAGGTGCTGTACATTTGCTGGTGAGGCAGTGGATGCTGAACCTGAAGCAAAGCCTCACAACTAATTCCCACCTCAGAAATTCTGTGTTTTTTAAACGTTGTTGTATCTTACGTATGAATAGGAGGCTGGGTGATGTACAATATCCATTTATTGTGGATGGTTTGTACTTTGTACCAGTTATGCAGGCACAGTCCTGAACCGAGGCCAATAAAGTCTGTGCCTCAGGCCCAAGATCATAGGAGGCCTAATTTTGGCCCAATAATAATTTTTTATTATTATTATTATTAATAATGCCTGGCGGCCCAAAGGGCCAAAACCAATTATCCAACAAGCTTACAATCCATTTACCTTTCAAATCTATTTACCCAACCCAATTTACATATCCAATATCCATGATTCAATCCAATTAACCAAAAATTCCCAAAATCTGATTCTGAAATACAATCAAAAATTTCCAAAATCTAAAATATAGCAGCCTGCTGGACGTGCTCTTCAGTCGTCGCCTACTCGCCTCAGTGTTGTCTCCTTCAGGTCAGTGGTTCCCAAAATCTTTGAGAAGTCGTTCAAAGTATCAAGTCTGCAGCTCTTCTGCTCTTGAGTTGCCTCTTCCCTTGGACTTGGTAGTTCTGCTATTGGCCAAAGCCCTCTTTTTCCTCAATCTTAATCTTGGTTTCTGGATTATTGGGCTTCTTCAATCGAGCCATTGGGTGGGTAATTAAGCTTTTTTACCTTGTGCATCCACTTTTTATCTCTAATCTTACTCCTCGTCATTTTGGGTACTCAGCCTATTCCATCTTAATCTGGTAGTGATATAAAAGCTCATTATCTGGTAACCTTTTTTTTTAAAATCTTTTTTTGGGTTTTGAGTCTTGTGTATACCATCATCGATTCACTGTGGAAGGTGGATCCACAGCATTTTTCCGAGGGTGAAATTTATCTATAGAGCGGTAAATTTTGAAGAAAAAGGGAATTTATATAATTGTAGTAGGGTGTAAGCAAGTAGTTGAATTTTTTGCAGAAAAAAGGCTTAAATATTGCCAAGATTAAGAATCTAAGATCTAGTCAATTCATAATTGCATCTGTTAAGTATGATATAAGTGGGCCATTTACTTAAATTTTTAACGATCAATTTGCCAGCTAACCATTCTTAGAATATCATTGTGCATCTGGTGGCTTGGATAAGGAAAATAAGTGTGAACTTCTTTCATCAGCAAGCAAATCCCAAAATTTTTTATATTTATGAATGACTTAGTGCTTAAAGTAATTTCAGAATATGTTTAAAGTTGGTGTGAATGACATGCTAGGAGATTAATTGTATTGAGAAGCATGCTGCATGCTCTTTAGGTATTCTATTTGAAAGCCAACTGGATCCAATAGCATATTTTAATATGATTAACTTGGACCTACATGACAATAATTTGTTAAGTCCATTACCTGATTATCTTAGAAGCATGTTAACTGTGAAGAATTCAAAGTCAGCAAACAATAACTTCATTGTGGTTACCGAGTTGGCTTCACCCTTCACGTTGTTTGCTGTGTATATATAGGCTACTCATACATGGCTATTTAAGTTCAAAGCTAAATTCAATATTTGTTAATACCTATAAATTGCAGGTGAAGCAATTATAAGAAACCACAAGTAAAAATTTTGAGACTATCTTAGCTAAAAGCTAGCCAATGTCACCCGTCGAAGCGCTACGATTATTGATTCACTTTCCTTATATCTAGAATTTACTTGGTGCTATCAATGAGGGATCTGGGAAAAATGATACTTCAAGAATGAAACTCTTTGACCTGATAAGCTAAAGAATATCAAAAAAATGGAGAAATAATAAACTACTTGAGTTTTACTTTTTTTTTAGCTTAAAATAAGATTTTTCGTTGTGGGCAAAAGAACAGGAGTGTTATGAGAACAGAAGTGTTAAGAGAACAGGAGTGTCTTATTATATAACGTCATGAATCAACAACAAAAAGTTAATCAGTTGAACAAACCCATCCATTAATTTCACTATTTAACTACTAGAAAACATGGCATCACATGAAGAAATACCGATATTACTGATTTTTTTCCGGTGACTTTCTCCGACAATGCAAAATGCATCCGAATTGGGTCGTAAAGTTATCTTTGGTGAAAACCTAAGAAATGTTCAACATCAGTACTGATGATTTCGATCCTTATCTGTTTGTTTTCTACTAGAAAATGTGGTATCAACTGCGAAATTTTAACACGGATAATTTAAGAAATTTCAACGGTGGAAGATGCCTTGGTAATTTTAGCGACAGAAAAGAGAGAATCCATCACTAATTACCACCAGATTAGCAACAGAGTTTCCTACCTTTTTAGCAACAAAAAGTAATTTATCTCTAATCAGCTCATCGTCCATAAATAATAGCAATGAAAGTTGTTCGTCGATAATTTTCCATCTATATTTACAATATCGTTTCATCTTGTCTTGTGCATGACCTCAAATTTGTGTACAAGGGATTCTGCATTGGGTCCCCGAATTAACACAGAACACTTGCAAAGGGGAATGGGTGAGAGATATTCAATATTATTTCGTCATGCATGATGCAATTTCTTCTCCCAGTTGCCCGTATGTACATAGCATAGAGGTAATTTAGCCCACATTTTATTTCATTATTTTAAAAATGTACCATAATTGGACCACATTTCCTGCATATATCAACTGCCCCTATTCGATAATAGATCTTATAAGCGTACACATTGTATATTGGGATCCCTGCGTCGAAGATCGGACGTCTTAACAAGGATTTTTTTAATCAATACTTCTCTTTAAACCTTCCACACTCGATAGTCAAGTCTTTCTGTTTAGAACAAGATCTATCGAGTACAAATTCGTGTAACTTTAAAGGTCATGCACTTTAATTTAAAACGAGATCTATTGAGTTTTAGTAGTGACACGTTCAATTAAAGTATTAAAGTTCGGACGTGGTTAATGTGTCCAAAATGACAAAAAGTCAAATGATAATTGAATGGGTTGGCAAACTACAACTTATTATTCAAAGCTATATGCATTCTGGTCCCTGAGAGTGCCCCACTACAACTACAAGTGGTCAAAAATGACCGTCCAAATTTAAAATTATAGGTAGTAAAATTAAAAGTTCTTGTTTGGGTTTCATTTTAATGAAATTTTGAAAAAAATGTATTTTGAAATAATAATTTTTTTGGAGAATATGTAGTTAAGAAGTTAAGAAAAATTTTGAATTTACAAGAAATATTATTTTATTAAAATATATATAGTTAAAATGAAGAAAGAGAAAAATACATTAAATTAAAATGGAGCCCAAACAAGAACTAAAAACAAAAATCCCACATCCGTTGGACATAAAAGCAATAATCAACTTATGCTGTACTTCAAGATCAATAAATAAAGGGAAAAAATCATATGTAAGGTGTATGATTTACACCAATTCACAAATCAGGTGCAATGTTTAAAAATTCAAAATTCAGGTTTTTGTATAATTAATTGAAAATATTTATTAATTAAATATAAATAGTCATAGTTATACGATTAATGTTCACAAATTCACAATTATGGGTTACAGATTTATTTACTGGTCATATATCATCAAATCAATTGGTTACGAATTTTTTCGAAATCACAAATTAAAAATTTTGTAGGTTACAGATTATTTTGACATCACAAATCAAAATGTTTATAAGTCACATATTATCAAATTTTAAGGTCACAAACCAAATCGTTGACGTCATGATTATTTTTTTGTCACAGATTATCAAATTTTAAAGTCATAGGCCAAATTTTAAGGTCACGGACCACCACCAACAAAAATAAACACCGGCAATCAACCCAAACCATCAACTTGCACCACCACAAGCACTACCTCTATAGTTCTTGGCTAATGAAGTGAGAAGTTCAATTGTCAAGAAAGTTAAAAATGCAAAATATTTCGCAGTTATACTTGATTGTACTCCAGATGCAAGTCACGAGGAGCGAATGTCTTTAATTGTACGATTTGTAGATGATTGGACAACCTTACCTACAGTTGAAGAACATTGGCTAGAATTTTTGAAGGTAGATAACACAATAGGACTTAGACTTGCAACCGAGCTACAAAAGGCTTTGATAAAACTTGATCTGGATATTGATGACATTAGAAGGCAAGGGTATGACAACGGATCTAACATGAGCGGGAAGCACAAAGGTGTGCAGAAAAGAGTCCATGAAATGAATCCCCAAGCTTTCTATACTCCATGTGGCACTCATAGTCTAAATCTAGCATTATGTGATTTGGTGAACTGTTGTTCCAAAGTTGTATCCTTCTTCGAAGTGATACAACGCATCTACACATTGTTTTCCTCTTCTACCAAGCGATGAAAAATCTTCAAAGATAATGTACAAGGGTTGACAGTGAAGCCATTGTCACAAACATGTTGGGAAAGTCATGTTGAAAGTGTGAAACCTATAATGGAGTAAACTACACAGATAAGAGATGCATTACTTAATTTGGCAGAAAATAATGAAGATCCTAAAGTGAAGAGTGAAGTCGAGTCATTAGCAACACATGAACTTCAAAATTTTTAGTTTTTGCTTGGCATGATAATCTGGTACAGGTTGTTGCATGCTGTCAATATTATGGGTATTGATCATGCTATCAACCTCTTGCAAGGATTTGTTTCATTTCTTGAAGAATATAGAGAAATTGGATTTGCTATTGCCAAGGATGAAGCGACAAAAATGGCAAGCGAAATGGAAATTGAAGCTGTATTTACAGAAAAATGCATAATTCGAAGAAAAAAATAATTTGATGAAAGCGGTAGTGATGAGGTAAAGCAATCAGCAGAAGAATCTTTTAGAGTTTAGTACTTTGTTTTTATAATTGATCAAGCTCTATCTTCTTTGAGGACCCGATTTGAACAATTCAAACAATACGATGACACATTTAGATTTTTGTTTAATTTGAAAAGGTTAAGGGGTGCAACTTTTTAAAGTTTGTTGACCTCTTGTATGAATCTTAAGAAATATCTTCAACATGATGGGTGTTCGGATATCAATGAGGATGATTTATGTTCGGAGTTACAAATCTTGAGGTGTTTAATACCAAGTGAAGCAACAAGAGCAATTGAAATGCTACAATATTTGAAGACATAGAATGTTTGTTTTCCAAATGCTTATATTGCTTACAAAATTTTGTTAACCATACTGGTTACAGTTGCATCTGCGGAAAGAAGTTTCTCAAAATTGAAGTTGATCAAGACCTATCTCCGATCAACTATGTCGCAAGAAAGATTAAACGGGTTGACTATG